CCTTCCCCCAGAGTTGGCGGGGCTATTGAAACTCCGAAAGGTAAGAGACTGGTGTCAGGGAAAGCGGGCCGTTTTCGTTGGCGATGGACGTCGTTCGTGTGTTGTAGGCGGCGGGGTGTCTGCGACTTACTCTTCTTCCGTGCTGATCGTGAACGGAAAGCGTTTCGGATGCACCCGTCAAGGCTCGCAACGCCGTCGCGAGCAAGCTTCATACAGGTTTCAGGTCACACAGAAAGATTCACTTCCTGTGCCTCAGTATTGTGCTGAGGGCAATGCTTGGGCGTCGAGGAACCATCGATTATTTTCCCGCCATTTCGCTTTAACGTTATGGTATCTTTGTGAGGGTCGAATCCACGCTTGGTTGAGCGAACGGCCAAGTAAACGGACCCAGCCTCGTCACGGCTAACCACTACTCGCCTGTTGGGATAAAGTGCGCTCAACACCCAGAACCACACCTCCCCCGGACTAGAATTTGTGCAGAAGAAGCTTGTTTTTCACTCGCCAAAAGCATGTCGAAGATGCAACTCACTCACCACCCCACAAGCCTTTGCCCAATGTAGCAAGGTGGGTCCAACGAACTGTGGTGAAAGTTTTTGCAAAATAATACGCTTAGTGACTGCACGCTTTCCTAAGCATTACCGTTCGCTGTACCCAAGTACCCCTTGTGGTGAGGAACGACCTAACGTACTATATACCCTGGTTCACTGACGGAACGATTAGATACGTTTTTCGACTTGTGAATTTGAGCTCAAAATACGGCTTGCCCGTCCTCCTTGCCCCCCCCCCCGAATACCCGTGCGTCGAAGAGGACACGCAGGACAGTAATGCGAATCTCTTCTCTTCCGCACCAATCCAGCGAAACCTGTTGCATGCCCTTCTCTGGTATTCTCGCACAGATGTCGTGCTTTCCCCGCCCCGCCCACGGACAACTCACTCCAAACGAAACGTGTCCCCTTTTTGCTACTACTAATTTTGTGACCCTCCTTGTCGATTTCAAGCGATCGGGCGTGGCGAAACAGGCGTTTCTTGTTGAATAAACGCCTTCCGTATCTGTTTGATGTGGCACTCACGATGTAAGCTACACTTTTTCCGTTCGTAACTGCAAGAGATAAGACGAACACCGGAAATCAATCGAGGCCATCACCAACACGCAAGCCCTACCCGAACGACCTTGGAACAGGCAAATCTATCGAACAACTCGATCTACTCCCTGCCTGTTGACGTGGAGGCGGCCTGGGGAAGGGCCGACCCCGTTACGGGAAAGCTCGACCCGGCCACAGTGGATTCGCCGAGGAAGACCGAGGTCGTCATTCGCGGTAACCCTATCGCGGACCCTAAGCAGGCCGGCGGAAGCGCTAGCGGTTACACTGCGGAGCAAGACATGACGTCTTTGATGGATGAGACCCGATAAGTGGTTTCAAGGGCTCGCAGCGATGGACCGTGGTGTTTGGCTGGCTGATGAAAGTTATATGTGACCCGTTGCCGCCTAGAACCAGGGTCACGCAGCCCAAACCGGGTTGCTGATTTCTTGTTTCCCCGTTCGTGCACTTGCGCCAGGCCTGTTCGTGTTTTAGGTCTCTTTTTTTTCTTTCTTCGATGCCAAAACCAGCGTGTACATGGTACCGGTTAATTTTGTCCCCAATGACTCTTGCTGAAGGCCATTGTTGGTCCTGCGGCACGGAGCCTATACACAGTACCGGTACTCACCAAGATGAGCTATATAGATAAGGTTAAGACTACAGGTAATTTGAGTAGTATACACTGCTGTAGCCATGGTCATTCGCTGATTCTTCGGCGCATGATGACGCCAAGATGACTGCACTGCGGGGACCGAATGCCATCCCGAGATCGCATAGGTTTTTGCGCACGGGACCCCTCTGCCGCTCTGCCGCACATATTGACATATCAGGTCAGCGGGGGCATGCACTAAGAATGCAGATTTCGACAAAAACACGGGAGGGTACACACGCTGCTTTGAATACTGAACGTCGCATATTTTCCGCACAAGGAACTCATCACTGTTGTGTTTTCTCTTTTGGTAGTTTATCGTGTAGTCTAAATGCACACAGGTAGGTACGATACGTCTTGGCGTCGTCGGTTGGTGGAAAAATCGTACTTACTACAAATAATCTTGTTTAGCTGTTACCCAAAGGCAGATCTCACTGCAAGCTCGAAGCAGGGTGGGACAAGCAGGCAGCAGGGTAGGCCAGACACGGAACACTATGAATCGTCGTAAATTCCTGTTGTCGAGGAACTGTAGGAATCCATCGCTATTCCTGGAGCACTATCACGTTCTGTCATCGTCGTGTTGTCGTCGTCGTCGTTGTGTTCACATTGCAATCCGTTCCGGTCTCTGCTCAATACCTAACATCCGCCGCTCATCGAACTGGTGCGGTCGCCTTCCGTGGTCACAGGCCAACTCACCCAAGATTAGTATTACACACGCTTGCACACGCTGTCGAAAACATTAGCATCACGAATGTTGGCACTTGTTCTGTGGAGATGCATTCGACGTGCTTTTGGAAAAAGGAAGCACGTCGTTGGCTTTGACAGACTCAAAATAAGCAGTGTCCACGAAGGTTCTCTCCCGATTCATTGCATTCATTGTACAGCTGTACGTTCAGACCAAGCAACATTGTCATTGTCAAAAGAAATGCCTCAAGTACATGTATGTCCACAGATGCAGAGCCCAGGAGGTTCAATGTTATGGGCCCTTGCTTTTTGTGCGAGCAACTCCCAAGGCCAACGAGAAATAGATGGCAATTGTTAATTATTTGGTGAGAACTGACGCCAAGTACGTACGTGCGGCAAACTGGTGCGGCGGAATTGGAGCAGCCGGGAACAAAACAGCAGTGAAACGGAACATTGTGCAAAGCCATGCAGCAGATACATCGCCCGTGTTGGGTTGGCATGTGTGTGCGACAGGTTTCCTTTGTGGATGGTGTGAATGGGGGCGTCGGAGGGTGGCAGATGCAAGCCAAAGCCTTGAGCGCTCGTCCGATCGAGAGCGTTCGATGGCCGGGTGTGCGCCACAGGCTACGTCACCACAGCGTCTACCGAAGAACCAAAGGCGGCCCAATTCACACCGTGAGCGCCGGCTGCCAGTATCGCGAGGTTCACCTCCTGGGGTCTCATGTCGTGCGCGAACCGCGCGGCTATCTCTTCGAGCTCAAATTGCAAAGGTTGAATGGGAAGCAGCGCACGGAGAACCTTGCCCTTACGCCCGGCCCGCGCGTCCTGATCTCGGTCGAGATGGGAGGAAAAGACGTGGCCCTGCCGCCGCAGTTCACCACAACAGGCACAACCAGGATGTGAGACGTTTGCCTGAAGGATTGCCCGACGCACAGCGCCGACGCCTCTTCGGCAGTGGCTTCGTTAGGACTCCTAGTGCATCGGCAGGGCACCAAAGAAGTTGGTTTGATAACAGTAGCAGTTGTCGTGCAATTGGCACAGCTGCTGATGATGGGGCCGCCACTCGAGCAAATCCAAGGCGGGGAGGGAAAAGTCCCATTGCCAAGAACGCCAGCATGGCACACCGTACGGCAAAGAAAAGGCGTGAGAGGTGCAAGACAGCCGTGCCGACTCTTCTAGAGCTGCACCAGCGCGTGATCGATGCTGCCCTTCTCGAGATCTCGCGGCCACGCGACCGGCCCTTCGACAACCTTGGTGAACGCCTTGGAGGAGAACACGACACTTTCACCTACTGCTCACCAGACGACAGCAGCATCGCGAGTAGGGGTTGTAGCCGCGATCGAAGCACCCAGTCTCTTCCCCGGCCCGCTGCGAGCATGCAGAAACAACGTGCTTCAACAGCGGGAAAACGTGGAGCTCTCGCACGCGCTCGCGACCTGCCAAGGCCTTGTACCACCAACTCCCCTTTCCGCACACAGACGGCAGACTCGTCGACTCTGTCCACCAGGTTGCCGCGACTGGAAGGTCATGACCCATGGAAAATCCCGCTCTTACGAACCTCCTGGACTTACGGCGATGACAATTCCCTGGGTATCAGAAGTGATAGTTTCGGTGGAATCGAATGTGTTGACCCTGACCCGGAGTTACCAAGAAGACGTTCCGAGCTTGAACCACAGGAAGGACAGGAAAACGCAGCATTTACCCCCCCCCCGGAGCAGCAGCCAGGCGCAGCCGCTGGACCACCTGCCCATTTGGAGCACGGCTCCAACCAATGCAGTGGTGAGGATAGCATCCCAAAACCACATCCTGAACGCATTGCTTTATCGTCTGCGGTGGGCCTGCCGGCGTTAGGCGCCGCTGCGAAGGAGAATATCGAAGAATCGATGTCCTGCGCTCGGGCATCGACAACCACGCCCCTTGGTGAGGACCGCCGGCCACAGGTTGAAAGTTGCACAAGGAGCAAGACCTTAGCGCGCACTGCCGTCTCGCAGTTCGTGGACGAAACTTTTGCTCAAGCTTTCCAGCGCCGGCTGGTTGAAGCATCCGGAAAAAAGAAACTGAGTCCAGAGTTTTCAGAAGACAGCCAGTGCGACGGCCCAAGGCCAACGGACGAAGGTTCTTTGAAAAAGGAAGCAAGCATTATAGCACGTGGATGTTCTACTGAATACCTCCAAAGAGGAGTGCAATCCAGGCTGGAGAATATCGTCGCAGCCTCAGGCCCACCGACACCCACAGAGGCGGGAACTATCCCCACTGGCACAGCTCTACCGGAAAATGCTGGTCTGAGAAGTAGTGTTTTCTCAGCGGAATCAAGAGCCATGGCGCATGGATGCTCTGACGATCACCTCCAACAAGGTTTACGGGCAAGCCTGGCGCATATTCTGGGAGTACCTTCGGACTCATCGATACCCGCCGAGGTGAGAACCAACAACACGGCCGAAACCTCTCTAACCGAAAGTGATGGCCAGACAAGTAGGGTCATCTTGGCAGAATCAAGAGCCACGGCGCATGAATACTCTTATGAATACCTCCAACAAGGTTTACGGGCAAGCCTGGCGCATATCGTGGGAGCAGCTTTAGGCTCATCAATGCCCGCGGGGGCGAGAACCAACAACACCGCCGGAACCTCCCTACCCGAAACCGCTGGCCACACAAGTAGGAACATCTCGGTGGAATCAAGAGCCATGGCACAGGAATGCTCGGTTGAATACCTCCAACAAGGTTTACGGGCAAGCCTGGCGCACATACTGGGAGTAACTTCAGGCTCATCGACACCTACAGAGGCAGGAACTATCCCCAGCGGCACAGCTCTTCCGGAAAATGCTGGTCAGAGAAGTATTTTTTTTTCGGCGGAATCAAGAGCCATGGCACATGAATGCTCTGTTGAATACCTCCAACAAGGTTTACGGGCAGGCCTGGCGCACATCCTGGGAGTAGCTTCGGGCTCATCAACACCCGCGGAGGCGGGAACTATCACCGCTGGCACAACTCTACCTGAAACCGCCGGCCGGAAACGTGGGGATATTGCGGTAGAATCAAGGACCATGGCGCAGGAATGCTCAGTTGAATACCTCCAGCAAGGTTTACGGGCAAGCCTGGCGAGTATCATCGGAGTGGACCCACGCTCATCGACCCCAAAAGAGGTGAGAAGCAACAGCACCACCGGCACCACTCTACATGAACCGTTTGGTCGGCAAAACAGCCTCACCCCAGCGTCAACACAACCAGGCATTAAAGACCAAGGTTGCGATGGTCCAGGCGGGAGCGGCACCACAACGCCGTTGTCCGGGTTCACAACGCCGATGTCAACGGACAGCAGCTCTGCAACAGAATTTGTTTTGAACGATGATGTTTTCCGGGAGACGGAAGAAAGGGGACGATGGGCGACGCTATCTAGCTCGGATCAGGCATTGAACCACCGCGACATCCACACGGGTGTCAGCACGGGTGTTGACCAGGGCTTCTCTTTAGCGCGAGCAGATGCAGTAACCAACGCGGCTGAAGCGGCGGTGGAAGGGTGGCTGTTCGGCGCCGTCGGCAAGTCGGCACGCACGGCTCAGCCTGCAACTACGTCCCAGCCAGTGGAAAAAACGCTCGCGCACTCTTCTGACGAGATCGAAACGGGGGGAGTGAATGAGGACGAAGCGCGCTCTGGCGAACGCCGGCGAAGTCCTGCCGCTCCCACCCAACTTATGGTGCTCCCACTCGGGTTTCTGAAGGACATAGTGGAGCGTAGGGCATCGCTCAAGCCCGTTACAACCGCGCAACTAACGCCGATGGAGGCTAAAATGGGAGACGGAGAGTCGGAGGTGGCGTCGCGGCTACAACGCGAGTGGGGTGTTGAGCAAGAAGCGAGAGACAGAGCCGCTGCGCTCCTGGAGCTCACTGCACTCGTGCGGGCCAAAGCTTTGAATCGGTACGACCCAGGCGATTTCTCAAGGGAGGTGGTTTTCGGCGAAGGGAGGCACTCGGTGGTTTACAGAGTGTCCGCTACCAGGTCGTGCGGAGCAACGGGTAGGTTGGAGGATCATCCGTGTGGCCGCCCAGCGACGAAAGGAGCAATGCTGAGAGAGGCTGCCGCGACGATGGCAAGGGAGGTCAGCACTGCTATCCTTGCAGCGGCGGAAACAGCTGTGGTTTCGATGAAAGAAACAAACGTGTCGAAAGTTGTCGTGGCTGAAGAGACAACGGTTGTGATGATGATGGCGGCGGCTCTCGTTGAGTCCGTTATTCGCACGTCGAGTTCGGCCGTGGTGATACCGGTGACGGCGGTGGCATCAAGAGAGAATGACAAAAATATTGGCACAGTGCTCGCCGCAAAGGAATTCCGATACACGCGAGCGGATGCACCCGAGTCGATCCTGCGCCAAGCCCATCGAGAGGTGTGTATGCACCTACGAGTCTCCGATTGTGCCCACGTTGTTGCCGTCCGGGGGGTTTGGGTGCTGCCACGAGTTACAATCCTTCTCGAACCAATGCACGGAGGGAACCTCCACGGTTTTCTCCGAGCTAGGGTTGCCGAGGACGATGAACGAAAAGAAGGCCACGAAACACGAAGACAACGTGCTAGGCTTGTGTCGGAGGCCGCCGATGGTCTTGCCGCCCTTCACCACGCAGGAATAGTCCATCGAGACGTCAAGAGCCACAACGTGTTGGTGGTACGGCAACGACAGACGGCATTCGGAGGTGCCGAACCTGTCGTCGTTCGTGGACGTGAACACGGCGAGAGCGACCACAACTGCACGTTCTTGGAGGGTATTGATGAGTCGGGATGGGAAGCAAAGCTGGGAGACCTAGGAAGCGCAGCCTTGATCCCCCTGGAGGGGCAGGCTGCTTTGACAGAAGAGATCGGTACGAGTGGGTGGACGGCCCCAGAGGTGAGAAGATGGGACTTGTTCGCTTCCCTGACCCTGGAAACACATTTACGATTCAATGACGCCAATACGCCGCTCATCATGCCGTTGGTTGCTACTCAAGCTATGCCATCCTCGTGAAGTACGAATAGACTGCACGCTTCGTTCACATTTTCTTGGTTGCCTCTGTTGCTGCTGCTCTGGTTCCAGAAATCCTGTTTCCGAGAAGGCAGTTGCTTGTGGTTTGAAGGCAACCATCACCTTTGTTACTTGACTGTTGATTATCCAACCATTCTCCAGTGGACTTACCTGTATCTCGAGAAGCACCGAGCTCGTTGTCCTACGCGCCCCCGAAACAACTTTACGGCGAGTACACATCCTCGTCAATGGCCAACATAGCTAAACACCGAACGGCGAGTGCCCATGATGGTGTTCACCAGGAAGAGGGCGACGGAGACGGGCAGGGGGAGTTTGGGGGGGTGGCTCTCTTGCGGGAATGAATATGGAAATAGCACTACACAGTCACCACCATACACAGGCAATATAATATTATGCAAATATTTATTGTGGTTGACAACACGCAGACAAGTATTCTCGGTACTCGGACCCCACCCCTGCTGCTTTTCCCTCCTGGAAACCAAAAACCCACCGGCAGGTGTGCGAGGGCCGCGGGTACGGAACGCCGGCGGACGTATTCAGCCTGGGCGTGCTTATCTGGGACGCCTTCGTGTGCGGAGCGCTTGAGAACCCCATGTGCGGGCGGTCAGGAGACCAACTGACGGGGAGATTGAGACCCCGTTGGCCGCAGGCACCTTTTCCAGTTGTGCCTTCGGACATCGAGAGGTTGGCTGAGCGTTGTTGGGCCCCCGATCCTGAAGCTCGTCCGACTGCTGGTGCGGTAGCCGCCGAGCTTCGGGCGTTTTGTTGCCGTGCTTGTGTCGAAATTGATGGTTAACCTGCATGTCTGGTTTTCACTTGTGGTTTGGAGGGCTGCAAAGCCATATTTTGATTGTTGTTTTATTGTACGGAACTAGGATTGCGGTGTCCGTCGGAATCGTCCAATGCCGAGGTATTCCCCAGTGTCTCTTTAGTCCTCGACGGTTTCAGAACATGTGATGGACTTTCTACAACTTTCATGTGGGGTCTAGGCATTTCTTCAAGATTCGCGTGTGGTGCGACATACACGAGTGCGCGAAAAGATGCGGTACACGGACTATTTTCAGGCCATCGTATGCCGAGCTGTAGTAGAACCCCTTGTGACAAAAAACCAAGGGCACATAGGCGGTATCCGCATGGCCTGGCGGCGCAAACACTCTTCACGGCACATACGTGAGCAAAGAGCGAATATGGTACCTTCCTTTCGCAAAGGGATCACAAGACACAAGAGACATACTTCATTCAGTCCCGCCGTCGGACAGTATTTACGTCGAAGGAGAACATCCAAACGTGTTCTTGGGTAGGTTCCCAGTTCAGTTCCGGGCAGAAACCTCTGACACATGGTAATACACAACATGTCCCATACCAAAAAAAAATGGGTGCCATGATCATGACAACACGCGGTACATTACAACCCGCCACTACGGCACTTGTGCGGTCTTCGCAAGTGCCCTCATCGCGCGAGGGAGGGCCATTTACGAAGACAAGAATCTGAAAAAAAGGTTGCACCTCCCATGGACGTGAACGCTTTCAAACGGCACTCTCTAGGCACTCTACGTCTCATCAAAGCGAGGTCCCCTGCAGCCAGCATGCACTCGGGGCCCCATTATATCGCGGGCAAGCGATGGTATTCCCCGTTCACATCGGGAACAACAAAAAAAACTGCGCCGACAAATCCATTACTTCACGCGCGTCTGGCCCCATGAGAACTCCTACGCATCAATCGACGCCTTCATTTTTTTCCGGCTTCGCTCCGCCACCTCCTCCTCCTCCTCCTCCTCCTCCTCCTCCTCCTCCTCCTCCTCCTCCTCCTCCTCCTCCTCCTCCTCCTCCTCCTCCTCCTCCTCCTCTCCGCTGTGCCCTTCCGGCACCGTATCCAGCACTCCCCCCGGGGCGCCAAAACTACCCTCGCTGCTACTGCTGTCTTCGGCGCCGTCTTCTTCGCCGGTGCACGCGACGAGATACTCGCCCACGACGTCGTAACGGCTACCGGGGGCGGCGGAACTCACGTACTTGACGAAGCTCGTGATCGCCTCGTCGTCTCTCAGCACCAGGCTCAGGGCGTTCGACGCCGCGGACACCGATATCAGGGAGCCGCCCTCGTCCGCCTTGTACACCGCGGCGTCGTTCTTTTGCGCCCCCCCCCCACCTCCGGCGACCACACCTTCGCCCGGATCTGCCGTGCCGTTTTCCTTATCGCTTCGACTGCCGCCACCGCCGTCTTGCTCTGACGGCACAGAGCCGCCGTCTGTGCTGCCGGAACGGCTGCCTTCCTTTTCTTCCTCTTCCTCGTCGTCGTCCCCGCCAAGGTAGGTAACGTAGCCCCCGACCTCGTCCTGCCTCCACGCCGCCTCCTTGTACGGCTCCCGATCGTCCACGAAACACAGCGCCGCGTCCAGCACCATGTACTCCTCCCCCTGGGACCCCCCCACCCGCCCCTTGTCTGCAACATCACCACCACTACCACCACCACCATCGCGCTTTTTCCATTCCCACGGCACCCCGGGAGTTGCTAGCGTGTAGTCGAGGCCGGGCCTGAAGCGGCGGGCTTGCCGTCGAGATGCCACAACCGGGGAATCGCCAAGAAGCTTCTGAAGAAGGCCCTTGAAGGCCTCGCTCCGGAAGAGCTGGGTTTTCATCGAGTCGGCGGCGGCGGGACATGAGCAACCAAGCCGGGGTGGGTAAACAGACAAAACATTAGAGCTGGCGCACCATAACATGCACGAAAACACACACGGGCTGTCCTTTCAGAAATTCGCCAGCGTATTCCAAGGCTAGCTGAAAGCTCCCTTCTTGTGGTAGCGGCGCTTGTCCACTAGCGCCCAAGCAAAAAGCGGCATAAACTGCCAGCGGAGGTGAGACACATGAGAAAAGGCTCACCGTCGTTCGTGGAAGTGACGTCGAGCCCCGCTACAAGGACCCGTCGGCACACTGACTTGTGTCCAGTGAAGTGAAACCACACCAAAAAACATATAACACACTTACCTTGTCTCTGAGAGCCCTGAGCAGGGCGCCTATTTCATCATCATTGTCGCCGTCTCCTACGTCCTGTCCATCCGCTGAGCCTGCCGCAAGAGCAATACGCACGGGCACGAAGACGGGATCAAGGTGCCCATTTCACGTCACGAAAGACCAAGGAGAGCAAGTCCAGCAAACACCCGTGCTCATCCCCGATGGCGCGTTGCGATGCGAGTCTGGCGTAATTTTTGTTTTGTTTGTCTTCACTTCAAATCAGCGCTCACAGCACAAGGGCCGTTTGCTCCAACCCGTGGTCACACAGAAGGGCCCCTCTCTGCCCTCCCCTCCTGCGGTACATTGCCTTCGATTTTTAATGCGAGAAGAGTTCAGCACTCACTTCCCTCTGTGTACACACGAACTAGCGCTATCCACTAGGCCAGGAGCGGAAGCGAGAGAAAAACTCACTTTGCAAGAAAAGCTCGCCTACGCCGGGATTCGAAACCCTGACCTGACCTCTAGAAGGTTTCGAGGATACCAACTATACCACCGGGGCGACCGGCTTGGTGAAAAAAAAAGCTCGAGGTGAGAATCGAACTCACGATCTCCTCTTTACAAGAGAGGTGCATTAACCACTGTGCTACACGAGCTATATCCTGCGGTTCACTACATAGTCACATTAGAGCAATGACAACAAACCACATACATAAAAGGACAGCAACTGTCGTCCGCGAAACACCCCACGCCGTTAGCTTGGCACAAGACCTGCCTCAACCTAGAAGAACAACGCGGTCGCGGACCTCACCAAATGTGAAAACGTCGCAACGGAATCGAACGCCAAAAAAAAACCGCCATCATGTCATGTCTACCGCTTCTATAGTAATGGAACAATGGAACAGATGGGACGAACGCACACACAGCAGCATCCCACCAACATCACCAGCTAACAACACGTTGCGAAGCCCCCACCGCTAACAACAACAATTACCTGGCTCTTTGGCGGCGGAGAGGCGCAACATCCGTTGTCGGTGGGGCGGGCCCGCCTTCCTCCAACCCCCCCGCACCCCGGCGTCGAAGGGCGACGCCTCCATGTACCCGAGGCCGTCGCTTCGGTCCGCCGCGATCGCGGCATCGACGATCTTCTGCGCGACATCGTCCTGTCATTCACGTCGTCGTAGTTGTCGTCGTTTGTTGAGTTAGGCACGCCAAACGCAAAGAGGGCATCCCGAATGTGCATGGAGCGGGGAGGGAGGAGGAAGGGGTGGGTATGCGGCAGCGAGAGCTCAAGGGAGTCCTGCTCATGAACGTTGGTTGGCTTGGCATGCATCGCCACGCACAGACGGGCTGACAACCGAACCTCGTTGCACACATCGTAAGCCAAAATTGATTGTTCAACAACCGCAATAAACCCAATGCAAGCACCGGGGGATGATGATCAAACTCGGCAACATACTGCCCAAGAACCTGGCGGGGAACCCAAGGAAAAAAAAAACGAAATCCTCCAGAGAACAAACGCCAGCGCCACACGAGCCGACGGCATGAACCACGGAACAAGTCATGCCGCATCTCCCCGAGTTCACAGCAAGCTTTAGGCTTGGCCAATGAGAAATGGTACCTTGAGGAATCTGTGGAGTTGTATGGTAGACCCGTTTTCGTTGAACGCGGCTGCACATTGGTCCATCATCGCAGGCACAAGGTATTCCGGGTTCACCCACTCCGACAACTCTTGCAAGTCCTGAGGAATCGGGAGAAAACAGGGGGTCCGGACACAGATATGCTCGTGAGTATTCGACATCCTCGCTGAATCAACCAAAAACGGCAACGAGGAAAAGCTAGTGACCAAAAATGAGTCCTCCCGGGACCCGCACGCGGACGTTGCACATCTCCACTTTCCGCGTGTAGTCAAACGGACGGTCAATATCAAAACGAACAGATCTCACGAGCCAACAGCAGCAGCCTCCGCCATTGTTGAGAGACAAGACGAAGGAAAACCTCGCTCCGCCGCAATTGCATGTGCTAGGTGCAGCGGGTTTCATTTCTCGGGAGCGACTAGTGCCCAGGGAAGGCCTTTAAGAGCTCACGCATCCACGGGAGTTCCGGCCATGTATTGTTTTTCTGCCGAAGCAAATGTGCCTCGTTCGCCGGGAGGCCACTTGCAATGGCCCGACGAAATGCTGGACGAAGATGTGGACGCATAAGAGTTGCAGCAGTTACGAATTTCTAGAAACGTTCCATTCATTTTCCGTGGGCCACGGACAGCCTTGCATTCCGAATTCTCGGGCTCTGAGAGAACAGTATTTTCGGGCCCTCACAAACCACCATTTTCACCCTTTTTGCACTTCAACTTATACTCATCTCGATGCAACCTTCTCGACATTTGGGTATCTCTCATCCTGTCTCTCTCGGTGTCCGTCTGTCTGTCTGTCTGTCTGTCTGTCTGTCTGTCTTTCTATCTACCTCTCTCTCTCTCTCTCTCTCTCTCTCTCTCTCTCTCTCTCTCTCTCTCTCTCTCTCTCTCTCTCTCTCTCCTTATCTATCTATCTATCTATTTTCTATTCGTCTCTCATGTCCCAGCTCACTTTAAAATTCATGCTCACATGACATATTTCAATCTCGAGATTCCTGAATTATTTGACGAGATTCCTGGATTATTTGACTGGATTTCTCGTGATTTCCGAGGATTGGAGTTTGAAATACCGCGCGGAGATTCCCGAACCGGAGATTCCCGAATAACTATTCAGAGGGGTGTGTTGGCCCGATGACATATTTATTCAGGAAGGATCTTTAACTTTTTGTACCTCCGCCCGTGACGGAAGGGAGGAACAGCTCGCACGAGGGTAACCATGCCGCACGGCCCCCGACTGCTACTACTCGAACAGCTACCACCGTGCAAGCCAGCGTGGCTTGTACCTCGCAGGCTGTTCCATCCCTCCGTCCTCCTGCTTGAGATATATCACCGATGATGCATCAATCCTCGTCTACATACAACACCCGACATCAGCACAGCAAAACCGCATCTCGAATTGAAAAACCCAACCGCTCCACCAGTCAGCCGCTCCCTCCAGGTACTAGCTGCTGGCAATCTTGGTCAGAGGCAAAGAACGACAGAGGACGGACACAAAACCTAGACCCGCACCCCCAGAGCTTTTAGGACACCGCGCGCACGTAAGTATTCATAGCTTCATGAATCTCTCATCCAGTTATGCAACGATCCTCTGCTGTCGCTCAAGAATCGGTTGCTGTGTGTTTTTTCTTCCCAAAGGCTCTTCTCCGCTTAGTGACATACTTCATCATGACCATCGACCGCGAGAGTGCCCTCCTGAAAGGTGCATGGTTAAATAACTGGGGCATGAGTGGCTAGGGTGTGCGTGTCTGGTGTGTGTGCTGTGTGTTGGCAGCGAGCCGAAGTTTTCGGTTGATCATCCTGTTCATCATCCTGTTCATCATGCATGCATGCGATAATTCAGCCAGCTGCCCAGCCGGCGAGAGAGAGGAAAATAGCATCTCGCTGTATCTGTGTGTGGTGTCGCTCTGCCTCTCTCTTGAAACACATCCCAACCAAACACGAAGTCTCAACACAGGCGTGCGTATGCATCCTAGTTCGCTGACAGCAGCGTAGCAGTTATGAAAGTCACCCGTCTCTCCAAGTTGGTCTCCCTCTGTGTACAACGTACTGCTGTAATCCTGCTGCAGCATAGTATGTGTGGCAGCAAGGTGTGCGCACACTGGACGGAGTTTCGGATTACACGTCATCTCTTGGAATATTAACTTCGGAACAGCTGTAGAACACGCTGTGCTTTCTAGAGCACAGGAAGTAGTAGTAGTTCTCGTTTTGTCTCTCTAGGCTCGGGCTCTCTCGTCTTTTTTCGTTCTTTCTCTCTCTCTCCCTCTCTCTCTGTCTATTATCTCTCCGATTCTTTCCGGGGAATCTTTGCGATTCGTTCCTGTTGCCACTGCCACAGCTTTTCGGTGCTCCCCTCTCCTTTCGTGTCCCGCGCAGAAACTCCCTCTACAGCCGCCCTACGCTCACATGTAGCTTCTTCGTGTTCCGTTGGGGTGTATCCACGACGACACGCTGTTCTTTCCAACAGAACAATAAAGAGCAGCGTAGTGCTTTCTCAATACCGGACATGCGTGTTCCAATACATGCGCGGTTGCCTGAAAAACTCTGTTGTGTGCATTTTATTTCAGTTTGGGTTCATTCAATCAAGAGTTTGCGCAGGACGAGATTTGGCTGAAAACGACCAGTTCGGGGTATTAAAATTTCCTCCGAAATACATTGTGCCAAAATTTGTCGCTATATTTGACCAGATAGAAAAATTTGCAAGCAAAACTTGCAAAGTGGCGAACAGACAACGACCACCTCGAACGGATACCCCGAGCATCTGCATCCCCCACACAGACATCCAGGCCAGCTATCAAAAACAGCGGAAGCCGCGCCTATTCGACCTACACCGCACGGGGGTTCTTCCGACCAGGGGGTTCTTCCGAGCAAACACAGGAGTATGCATATACATTCCGATCTCTTCAAGATACTTCAAGATAGACTGAATGGATGGTCCCATCCTTCCGGCTATCCGATCACATGACGTCTGTCGCTCTGTTCTCCCCTGCACACATATATTTGCGGCTCTCCGATCACACGAGCACGAGGTCTGGCTCTCTGTCTGTCTGGATCTACGCTGACGCTGAGAGGGCTCTATTTCGGGTCTTCTCGGGCTCTCACAGGGCTCCATGTTATCATTTCCATCTGTTCCACATCTTTGGAGCTCGCTGTTGTTTTCCGCTCACCGTTCTCTCTCATTTATTCTCATTGCGTTTGGCTCCTTCATCACATCCGGCTCGATCGCACGGAACCTTTCTCCCTTTCACACACGTCACGTTTTTTCGTGTCAGTCTCTCTCTCCCCTCACAAATATGAGTTTGTCGTCGGCTCTTACAACAACAGCAGCCTGTCTCTCCCTCTCAGATGTCCCACAGTATTAAATTATTATTCCCGTTTTCGTTTCCGCTTTCATCATTCCCGTTTTCCCGCTTTTCTCGCTCGCTCGAGGAAACTTTGGAGCTTTCCTGTGCTCCCCATCCACCACACATACAGGATCTCTTTCGAACTGCGCCTGTCACAGGGCTTTAGGCCAGTCTCTCTTTCTTTCGGCGCTCACACGCCAGTAGTCTGCCCCCTGACACGTCGGACTTTCGCATGTTCCAAAATGCACACTTTCACGTTCATCTCACTCTCTGGGATCTCGCATGTACGCGTCTGAATGTGGTCCAGGCGCGAGAGAAAGCGGTTGCTGCTAGCTGAGCACTCCAGGAGGGAGCGGATGCAAGTCGTTAAGATCCGTATGTACTGTAGTACTACTCCGTGCGATGCAGTTCGAGCGTATTTTGTCACTTCATTGAGGACTGCGTGAGGTTTCCTTCTCATTCAGTCAGTGAGCCCCTCATCTCCGAACCTACGGCCGTTCGTTTCCATGGTTTCTTCGTGCTTTGTAGCATCATTCTTTACGCTCGCCTGTGCGCGTGTCCAATTTGTGGACTCCGCGCGGGACGCATCGCTTCGTACCCCTTCGGTGTCGCAACAGACTACCGCGCGTAAGTAAGTGTAATGGACATTTGGACATTACACCAACAAGAGACGGCCATCCAATAATAACGAACGCCGATAACAAGCGTCTTGCGGAACGTTTCTCTCAGCCTCGCGGCGTAAGCCGCCAAACAACCTTGTACTGTCTGTATGTTGTCTCATGACGCCCTAGTATCCGTGTTTGGCCTAGGACACTTGTTGTGTGCGTTGTATATAACCTTCCTGGCTGAACAAGGGATCTATACCCAAGACCAGGGACTACTCCTTCGACAACTAATTTCTCCATCACGTGTCGGTACTGGTACAACTGCCCGATTTCTTCTGCGCTGCCGATATCTCCCCCCTTCCAAATTGCAGAAACCTCCGACCACCTAAACTCACATATGTTCCCACGAAATCATCCGTGAAGGCGTCGCCCGTCGACGAACCACCTTCCCCGCCCTTCCCGTCATCGCCGCTCTGCCCCCCTCCCCGTGCCGCGCCCTTGAGCTGCTCCAGCGTTGACGCCGCCGTCTCCCCGCTATTGCCTTCGGCGTCGCTCTTGCCCTTTGCGGGCTCGAAAGTGTGTCCCGGCCAATCGGTCATCTCTGTCTCGAGGGCACCGTGAAACCAGCCGGATACAGCGAGGCGGGGCTTGTTCTCGTTGTACACCTGTCACGAGTGAGCATGTATTGCAGGGCGAGGGGTTGCGAGAACGGGGAAGTCTGTGCGGAGGGGAAAGGCGGCCCCGGGAGGGAGGGAGAGAGAGAGAGATAAAGAGAGAGAAGGGCGTCGCCCTGGTCCTTCCAAAAGGACGAAACGTGTGGAAAAACACCAAACGAAGCACGAGCAAAACTAATCACACCGCCAGCCTACCGGGAGTCTCTCCCGTTTCAAATCACCTCCTGCACGTCGTGAAAGCTCCTCCCGGGCTGGACGGCGAAGAGAACCATCTGGTTCCATCTCGGTGGTATGGTCTTGCTCGGCGCAAAGGCGGGGATTCCGGGCACACCCTCCTTGTCGAGCGGGTACAACTGCAGGCCCCCACCGTCCGGTTTGTCTCCCGAAGACCCCCAATCTTCGTCCACGAGGTAGAGGATGTAAGAAACCTGGAGCACGGGATACGCAGGAGCGACGAGTTTACGTTCTGGTGCCGTCCCAACATTCGGGCAGGAGATGCGGGGTAGATTTGTGTGCAGGGACGGCCCAGAGCGGTTCTTGTCGTGGAAATCGCGAGAGCCGCTTTCCAATTGAGCAGAGCGCGCAAAACAAACTATAGATGCGCACCCTCTTGAACGATGATGCAGCGAATCGACCGACAATCAGAAGCAAGCAGCAGGTAGCGCATAACTCTTTGTCCTGCTGGAAAATTCCAGGCACATGGAGCGCCATGACCCTCCTTTCCGAGTTCAAGACAACAATAAAGTCGTCGCCGTTATCTTCCGCACCCCCTCCCCCGCAAGAGCGGACAAACACATGCCTTCCTGGTGCCGATTACATCATCGTGGCACAGCAGGTGTCCGGTGTGGCCGAAAGCGTTGGCGGACAGGTCGATCTGCTGCCCGCTCAAGGGCCCGGATCCCGTCAGGGATTGCACCAGCCGGCGGAACTCGAGCGAGTAGAGGCTGTCCCTTATCGCGAACAGGGACGGAAGGAGGCGTTTCGATTCCTCCGGAAGACCATCCATGTTGGCAAGATCGCCCGTTTGGTACACCTGCCCGCGGTGGCAGCAGCGGTGTGTGTGGTGTATCCGTCGGCGGCCGGTGTGTGTCTACGTACGGGTGGCACCTAGCAAGCTGCATGCAGGTCACAGGCTTGGCGGCGATGCCTCGCATTTTTCTGGCTCTACTTTCGGCTACAGCAGCGTCCGAGAAACAAGAATCGCTACAGTACTGCACATGGAATTTCAAATTCGAAGCGATCTCAAAGCAGTGGGCGCTGTTTTTTCAACGACGCGGGCGGCCGTTCATGTTTGGAACATGCCCCTCCCAATGACATGTACGGACTGTTACACGTGAGCTGGCTCCATTAATCCTTGCACTTCCACTGCTTCGTCCAAGTGTGTACGCATGCATGCACACTGTAAGTGAATCAGCCGCACCTCTGTTTGAACTTGGGCAGGTACGGCGGAGAGAGGACACAAATGTAGCGGAGTGTCACGACTTCTAACCTCGCCGAAACCGCAGGTGTGTCATTGCATCGTGTTTGTTCTTCTGTGGTATGTACACACGGAGTACAGAATTCCAGCTTACGGGTTACACTGGGGCCCGTTTGAAAATCCAAGTTCGGCCCTGAAGTCTACAACCCAGGTACGGACTTACAGCAGTGGTATTCGACAACTCTGGGCTTCCGCACTCGGAGAGTTCAACACTTCCGTAGGCGTCCGCGGGGAGTCCAGAAAGGAAAGGAAACCCTCCCACCAATGACCGACCTTGAAAATGTCCGTCTCCTTCAGCGTGGCCTGCATGTTGCTCTTGAGTTCTTCGCAAGCTGTCTTCAGAACCTCGCTGTCCATGAGATCAGGGATGACCAAGTGACGGTATGGCTGAGAAATCCTGTATTCCCCCTGCATCTGCGCCACCGACTTCGGCTCGAATAAGCTGGAACGCAGCACTTCAGGCCATTCCTTGCTGCCATCCTCCCGACCCTTGCATTTTTCTGCCTTGTCGTCCATCACAGGGGTGTAGCGATCTATCGCTGCTGCTGCAAGTGCGGCGCTGCAGCTCGCTGGCCCCGACTGGATGGGGGGGAGACGCACATATACCTCCAGTACATTTTACCATCCGTGCGAAGGGATCTTTACTTCTAAATTTACTGTCTCCTCATTGGTTGGAGATGCGCGTGCGCGCGCTCGCTCGGTGAACCTCTTTTTGGTTCTATTCACAAAGCTCTCCTGGGGTGGGGAAACCCCGGCGCTGTAGCTACATTTCTCCGCACGCCGCGCACGAGGTGCGCGTGCTGTGAAGGACGGACAGGGCGGCCGTGCTACCTTATCGACACGTAGCCTCTAGAGAGAGCATTGCATAGCGTGGCTTCCACCGTTGGCCACCACAGCAGCGGTCAGTCGTTGATGCAAGGAGGTGAGCGGCATGCTGCCGAGCACGCGCTCTGCTGGCGGCGCGCATCATGATGCTGATCATGATG